GTAATAGTTCCTAAGAAGTACTTTAAATTGGCATAACTGAACATGTAATTAAACTGTTAATATGCAAGCCCTGCTCCTTATCTTGTGAAGTCTTCAGCATAAGGATTACACTAAACTTCTATATATAAACTCATTAATAGAAACAACATAGATTACACACATGCCATGATACAAAATGAAGTTTCAGTGCATATGTACCTTACAAAGGCAATGGAAAGAAACTGCACCATTTGCTGGATAAAAAGTTTGTGTGCTTAAAAGCAGCAAAGTTATATAGAATCAATGTTGTAATGACTCTAAATTAGCATCTTAAACTGGAAACATCATGGTAAAAGAATTCATTCATAATTCAGCTTCATTAATGTGTTAATGTAATGAGATAAAAAGTGGGTACAAAAATTGGAGGATGCTGAACATCCAGCTAACCACCTGAGCGTTCTTAGTGTGAAGTTACTCATAAGAAGCTCATGTCAAGCATCTGTAGAATTGCAAATTTCTGCAGCATCATGCATTTATTCTTAAGAAAGTGAGGTGCTGATTTGTTTTCTGATAACTAGGGTGCATATGCACAGAGGCTAACAATCAATTCCTTGGGGAGAATGTGAAAATTACCTGTCAGAACACCTCTTGATGCCACATATATGTTTGGGTAACCCAAATGAAAAGTCTGAATTTCAAGAGGATGTTTGAGAAATATAAGGGTAAGTCAATAAGTAAGTTACAAATGGCTATAGAACTTAAACAAATAAGAATACTGATTTGAAAAATGCTTCTATTTCGCAACATAATCTCCCTGTACATTGAGACACTTGTCCCATCGTTTCACAAGCCCATGAAAACCAGCAGCATAGAATTTTTTGGGCTGCTGTAGGAACAAGGTGGTGACTTCCTTTTCTACAGCTTCACTGTTGGGAAAATGTTCAGCCGAAAGATGATGTTTAAGAGGGCCGACTCCTACTGTAACATCCTCAGGAAACTTCCTAAGGCCATTCGACAGAAACGACCAGGACTCCTCACCAAAGGTGTGTTGCTCTTGCATGACAACGCACATCCCCATACTGCCAACAAGACAAATGAGACGCTGCAAAATTTCAAGTGGGAAGTCCTCGAGCATCCTCCATATAGCCCTGACCTTGCTTCAAGTGACTTCCATTTGTTTGGCCCTCTTAAGCGTCATCTTTCAGCTGAACATTTTCCCAACGATGAAGCTGTAGAAAGGGAAGTCACTGCCTGGTTCCGACAGCAGCCCAAAGAATTTTATGCTGCTGGTTTTTAGGGGCTTGTGAAATGATGGGAGAAGTGCCTCAATGTACAGGGAGATTATGTTGAGAAATAAAAGCATTTTTCAAATCAGTACTCTTATTTGTTTCAGTTCTATATCCATTTGTAAGTTACTTATTGACTTAGAGTCAGTTTTACCGACCACACAACATATTTTTATTATTATTACACTACATGTTTCGACCTCAAGAGGTCATCCTCAGGTGTATGAACACAGCTGTATAATTACACGCAATCACATTCATCTTCTCACTTATTCGATCCTGTATCTTATTCAGGCCCATGCTCAATAATATATCAAGCTCTCTCAACCACAACTTCAGAAGACGCAGTAGAACAGCAAAACCTCCAAAAGTGAAAAAGTGCAATCTATAATAAAATTGAACTTTAATTCATGAACGTTTAATCAATAATATAAATAAACCAGTTAAAGTGAACTTGATGCAGTGATGAATGTAAGTAGGAAGTGACTGAATACAAGTGAAAGTGAAAGCATAACTAGTGATCTGAATTGAAATTCGATTCACAAACTTTAAATTTTTAAAATTTTAAATTTAAATTTTAACTTTTGACATTTAGAACAATTTTAACTAGTGTTTTATGAGAGAGCTTGTTATATTACTGAGTGTGAGCCTGAATAAGATACAGGATCGAATAAGTGAGAAGACGAATGTGATTGCATGTAATTATACAGCTGTGTTCGTACACCTGAGGATGACCTCTTGAGGTCAAAACATGTAGTGTAATAATAATATGTCGTGTGGTCGGTAAAATTGACTCTAATATTGATTAAATACACAACAGGATGCAAGAAACAATTAAAGTTACTTATTGACTTACCTACATAATTACATCTATTTTACATCCAAGAGATCAGGTATAAGTAAATTTTAGAGAGTGAGAGTGTGCTGAATAATAAATGAAACAGTCAGATTACATGAAGGTCATTATGTTCCTTAGCCATTTTATTTACCCTTGTTTTCTTCTCTAGCTTGTGATACAGTGGCTGAAGTAAAAACAAAACAAAAAATATATAACTTGTACAATAACTCTTGACATCTTTGATCTATTACTGCCTCTGGATTTTCAATTTGTGAATGTTAACTTTTGATGTTCCCTATAAATTCAGTAAAATTGGTGACTTAAAGCAAAAGCATTGAAAAATGCATTTGAAATGTCTTTCCATTCTTTACGCAACAAACACAAACACACACACACATCAGAGATGAGATCACGTGAACTACAAATAAATGAGAGACACTGGTAATATGAGGGGCAGTCAAAGAGTTCCCGGAATGGTGGTACAGCACTCTAATGGTAGGACATACAGTAATGCTTACCTATCACCTTCAAAGTAGGACCCTTGCGCGTGCACACACTTGCTCCATCGATCCTGCCAATGTTGGTAGCATATGTGGAAGGCTTCTTTTGGAATCTTCTGGAGCTCAGCCATCGCATTCGATTCGATGTCCTCTGTGGTTGTGAAACGTGTCCCCTTGAGGCCCATTTTCAGACAAGGGAACAGCCAAAAGTCACTTGGAGCGATCTGGAGAGTACGGTGGTTGAGTGTTGACAGGAATGTTTTTCTCGGCAAGGAATTGCTGCACAACAAGCGATGTGTGGCTCGGTGCATTATCATGATGCAGAAACCACTGTCCCTGCCACTTGTCACGCCACTTCCTCTGAATTGCATTGCGCAACCTCTGCAAAACTTGCACGTAGAAATAGCCAGTAACAGTCTGTCCAGGCAGTATGAACTCATGGTGCACCAAACCGTTGATGTCAAAGAATGCAGTGAGCATCACTTTGTCTTTGGATCTGACGAGGCGTGATTTTTTGGCTGAGGAGATGATGCTGTGCGCCACTCTGATGACTGCATCTTCGTCTCTGGGTCATAGGTGAACACCAATGACTCATCACCAGTGACAATCTTTTTGAGAAACGTTGGGTCCTGCATACTTTTGTCAAACAGATCGCCAGTGACCATCATGTGACATTCCATCTGATCCGTGGTCAGCTGCCTCGGAACAAACTTCGCACTGACATGTCTCATCTTCAAATCATCGGACAAAATGGCATGAATGGATCCGTGAGAGATACCAACTTCTTGCTCCAACTCTGCGATGATCATTCTTCGATCACATCGAATCAGTTGTCGCAGTTTTCCATTCATTTCTTCAGTTCTGGATGTCGAAGGTCTCCCACTGTGCTAGTCATCCTCTAACGTCTCCTGCCCATTCTTAAACTGGGAAAATCAGTCGTACACTGTGGATTTCTTTAGTGCAGTATCACTGTAAACTTGCTGCGGGGCTGATTGCGTCTCTGAAGCAGATTTTCCCAATTTGCACATGAAGTTGATGTTTGCATGCTGCTTGAACTGCGACATTGCGCCGAATGACCAACACTCACGTCTAATTCAAACGGAACAGTAACGACACTGCACACTGAAACCTATCCAGACCTGTTGCACCTGCGGAGCAGACATGCTGAGCTCCCCACCACAACAGTGTGTGTGTTATCTTATCACTTGTTCTCTGTCTGCAGGGGAATTCCGGGAACTTTTTGACTGCCCTACATATTTGCAAGTATTTGGACAGCCATTTTTGATGGCTGGACATACAAGTTCAGAACTGCATGACAATTCGGGGACATTTGCTCACTTACATTAAATTAACTGAAAAAACAGTAAACTTGATAAAAACATGTAATGGACAGAAAATATGAGTTTAATTTCTCTAAAACTCTTCTTCTAAACGTTTTTGCTCTGATAAATATTCAGAGAGTTATGATCAAGATGCACGTAGAAAAGCTGTAGGTCTTCATGTAAAGTAGTCATCAAACTTTTCACTGCAAATCATTTTCCCACCATTTTCCTAAAATAATACAATTTTAAGGTAAAAATATGAAAAGAATTGGACAAAAATGCATTTTCATAGCCCAGTGAATGAAGTTAAACAATGCAGCAAAAGGAAAAGACAATACCTCGATGTGGACTAAAGTCAAATGATGTGCTACATGGTAATGGATGCTTGTTTTGACTTCAGTCAAATATCACAGAAATAGGGTTAACAAGGTTAATTTAAATGAAAGCTGAAATGACCTTCTGTACCATCTAAACTGAAACTGAAATGGCTCAACATGTTTTCATAAAATTTTCTCATATAACATTTGATTGGAGTCTGCTTACCAATTTGTGAGTTGTTTAATTTGTACAGACATACAGAGCAGTTTAAATATGTGCTCTGTATGGATGCTAATGAGCCCACAAGACTGCTATGTACACAGAGGGATACACATGAGATATAGAAACTTGTGTGTTAGAATGAAATGACAAGAAATTAATAATGTCCTGACTTATGCAGTCATAGAGTCAAATGATAATGTCTGTAGAATTCTGTAAAAGAGTATCTCGCTATGGAGGGGCATTAGAGATTTCATTACCATTCAGAATTACTGAACAGTTTCTTTTACATAGTCACATGCCAAAGCCAAAGAGTTCAATTTTTAACATTTTTTTGCATACAGCATACATGAAAACAGACAGCCTGTTCAAGCATCCAAAGTAAATAACTTTGTACTTTCTTAGCTCCACCTTCAAAACTATGAATTATAAAATCTGGTGAAAGTAGCTTACAGGTGAATCCATATGAAGAAAACATGTTACAAACCTTGAACTGGAAATTATATAGTTATTTAAAAGTCAAATGAATTCAACTCACCTTTGATATAACGTGCGGATCTATGGCAAGTATGATAATGAAAGGAGAAGTTGTATCAGAAAACAACATATGAACAGCATCCAACACAAGCAGCACTTTATCCTGCTCACAGCTATCCAGTCCATCAACTATGACAACTAATCTGGTTTGCTGTGAGGTGAAACTGTCCAAACACTTCACCTTGAACATTAAGCAAATATCAGAAGTTAGTAACAAACTAAATGATAGTAACTTTTGAATCATTATACAGAATTTTGAACAGAACAGAAACCTAAGTAACCTAGCAAAAGTTTTACATTTTTAAAATAAATATTAAAAACATAATCTGTACCACATTTCAGAGGCAATATATACCTTAATCAGAAGCAAGTTACTCTCAGTAAAAAAAAGTAATTAAGTAAAGTAAAGCTATCCCTGTACCAGGCCGTCAAGGCCCATAGGGTTGTGAGACGTTGAGGGTCCCACATTATCTAGACAATCGGCTCAAAGATGGTGGTAAGGTTGTCAGCCTTATGCACCGGCCGTGCTTTACTCTCCAGGAAAATTATTTAAGGTAGCGTAGTTGGTTGAGGGGCTATGCTACAAGCTGGAAGGTCATTGGTTCAAGTCCCAATGAGGTCACTGGAATTTTTTCAATTGACCTAACCCTTCCAGCCGCACTATGGCCCTGGGGTTGACTCAGCCTCTAACAGAAATGAGTACCAGGAAAGTTACTCTCAGATACAACTTAAATATGTGAATATTTATTAAACTGTAAACTCTGTGAGCTAGAAGATGCAGCTGAATGAAACTCAAAGATGGGAAGTCTGAAGTGTTTTCTTTAAAAAAAAAAAAAGGAAAAAAANAAAAAAAAAAAAGGCAGAACAACCCATTCTTGTCCAGGACACAGCTGATTCTTTGTCATTACAACGTATAGTACCTAAAACTCTGAAGATGGAATAATATCAAATTGAGAAATTAAAGTTTATTCATGTAATTAAAAAAAGACTGGTTAATGAGAAAATCTCTAGAGCAATGCCTCCACATCACTTTTATATCTCTGGCAAGAGTATGGAGAAAATTTCACAACAACTTTGGGTGCTCTCTATAAGGACGATGGTAAGCATGAGAAGCAGAACAGTTATATTTTTGCATTTAATAAATTAAATTATAATTCTTACCATTTCAGTCATAAGGTTGACCTCTGAACGTAGTGCTTGAAGGAAGCCCTCTGATTTTAGAGTATCAAGGTGTGCTATAGCTCGCTGTAGGTGACGTCTCTGCGAGAACACTAAAGCCTGAAGCATTTGTGCCCACGTATAAAGGTTAGCTACAATGCCCACACAAAGCAGCAACCCAATTGTAATGAGGATCACCTGAGCAGTTGTACGTTCAAGTATAGCAGTCCTGCAAGTTCGAAGACAGCACTGAATTATTTTGGTAATAAACAAGAAGTCCTGACATCCAGTAGAATATAAAAAAACAGCCTTTGCATATATACTAAACAGAATAGATTATATGCCATTTCACCTGACAAAGTAGAAAGAACAAAGAACTAAATACAATAAGAAAAACAGCAATAGAAAACTATTATCTGTCTGACACCATGATTAAATGCAACAGAAAACAAAATAAAATCATAACCAATGAGAAAAAAAGAAGACATCAAGACAAGGCCGATTTGGCCAATATTCACATATTTTGGAAATTGTATCACAACAATAACGATATTCAGCAACACCAATTCAGATCCGGTGTACACAGTGAACAAGACCCTCCAGAAAAAATAGTTATAAAACAGGAGGAGGATGACAAACACAAAAAATGAAGTATATAAATTTAAATTTAACTAATGCAACAAAGTACATATAGGGCAAACTGGAGGTAATTTAAAATCAAGGTACAAAGAGCATATCCACGACATCAGACAGAAGAAGGACACCTCAAAATATGCAAAGCAGATCCTGGACACATAACATGCAAAAGGAAACACTGAAGAACCTATGGATATTTCAAAGATTACATCAAAAAGAAATATGGATATCTAGGAACAACAGTACATACAGTATAATCCCGGTAATCCGGTCATGTGCTAGTCCGACACATCCAGTAACCCAGCATCAGGCACCAGAACCTTGTGCAGGTTTCTATATGCAGCAGAGGCTGACTTGTGTCAGGATGATATACAGTTTGTGAAGTCACATTACAAAAAGAGCCTTCTATGCAGTGTAATAAACCAAAATTATGATATCAATCAATGTCTGAAACGAACAGACCTCAAAGACGTAGTTTTTAATCTCACATATGCATGGCAAAATGTACCTCTTAAAACCATAATTTCTTCTTGCCAAAAGTTATGGCCTTCCCATACATTATCTTCTGGTAGCAGTGAACTTACAGGGCCAGAAGAATTGGAAAATGATGGTACAGTCCTAACTTCTGATCTCCAAGAAGCAACAGCCAAACTGTGTGAAAGAGACTCATCAGGTTCAACAATTGCTGACGTAAGTAATTGGCTAGCTGGAAGAGAGGAGGAAAATCTACAAAACATGACAGATGAAGAGACAACCAACAATGTGCTAGAAGATGACAACAGTGAGAATGAGTAAGAGTCAAGTGTTCTGAAGATTACCTGCACAATTCAACATGATGGATGACACCATGAGTGCCTTTAACAAGTGTTACAAATGGGACAAAGAAATCAACGTGCAAGCTGAAGACAACCTCACATTTAAAAGATTGCAAGAAAAAGTTCTAAAAGAGGTATTTAGAAACAAAAGACAGAAAACTATTGATGCTTTCTGAAAGAATACAGTGAAGTGAAGCCCTAAATATGGAATGGACAAAAATTCACAGTACATATTTATGTATGTAAAATAAATAAACGATAAAAAATTATGTTAAATGATAATCAATTCTGAAACTTCTATGTTGTGCAGTACAACTTAATAAATTTGTTCCAAATCTAATGAAATTTAACAGAACTTGTTGTGACCTGTGTAGACAGTCATTTAAAAGAAGTAGCCTTATAATCCATGCCACATATGTGAATTCAATCAGGGTCGGTGAAAGATATCAGCATAACTGGGTTGAACTCTTCAATTAAATACCTATTTACTTCCAAAGTATATATTCATTTTTATTAATCTTTTCTCCACACTTTGAGTATGGTCATGTTTATCATTTAACTGATTAATATTGTTCTTTATTTGTGTTAATAACACAACAGGATGCATGAAGTGAAAATCTTCAATTAAAGAATAATATTAATTAATTAAATGATAAACATGACCATACTCAAAATGTGGAGAAAAGATTAATAAAAATGAATATATACTTTGGAAGTAAACAGGATGCACAAAATAAAAATCTTCATTTAAAGAATAATAGTGTGACATGTTGTGCAAAGCCGAGCCCCCCCCCCCACACCAGCAGTGACGCGGCGGGTGAGTCAGCGCTCCCCTCCCACCCCTCAGCGGTAACGTAACGCTCGCATAATAGGCGAGTAATCACCCCGCATCCTGGCAGCTATGCGCGGTGACGTCACGAGCGGAGCCGAAGATAGCCGAGCCCCGTAACCAGGTAACTATGCAAGGCGAATCAACAGCGGTGACGTAACAGGATGACGTGGCACTCATTACGCAACAAGCAAGCACTGCAGCTATATAAGTGAGCTGCACAGTGGCTGCGAGTCAATTATAAAGTGACAGCCACCGAGTTGTACGGTGACAGCCGCCGAGTTATAAGGTACTGAGTCAGTCAGTGAGTCCTGGAGCTACCGCCGAGTTAGCCAGCAACTAGTCAGTTGTATTCTGGCATTTGGAGTGTACTAATTGTGATACTGCAGATAGCAGTAACCGTAAATCTGTAATTTGGGTGATTGTAAGTGCGAATGTGAAATAAAATTCGCTACATCGAATACATCGAGAATTTATTTGTCGCGATATACGCCCGATACGCGACAATAGTAATCAGTTAAATGATAAACATGACCATACTCAAAGTGTGGAGAGAAGATTAACCTTTAAGAGACGGCCCTTTAAATTCCGGTAATGGCTGTGGGATGGATTTAATTTAAATACCCGCAATTATAAAGCAATAAAAACTGTAATCATTTACTAAAATTGCTGTGATTTCTACAATTTTTGTGATAAACCAACCAAATAAACCTGCTTTTTTCTAGAAAGAATATAGAATCTGATATTGTAATTTACAGACTTTATAAAATGTGTAAAAATTTTTATACTGATTCCAACTTAAATATTCCCCAATTTGTCGTATGTCTACAAGAATTCATACAGTTCTTGCAAGTATGAATGCTGCTGAAGTGGCAACACAGCAGATGCGCTAGCCGGGGCTTAGGCCTGCGTGTGTCAGTGTATATACATGTACGTCCTTTCGGTATGCAGAGGTGTCGGCGAGTATCTATTCGTTCATAAGAGCCCTGATTGTTTTTTATCGCTTATAGCTACACAACGAGTTCTCTGTTCTGACAGTGCTGAGTTAGTTTTTATAGGAACTTTCAAGGCTACCGTCTTTATGCCACAGCCAAACAGTGTCATAACTTTCAAAGCTAGTTGTGAAGTGAAGTTGTGAGCCCACACCATGGCGACATCTTGTTTGGAAGACACTGACATATTTCAACTCATAAACGACTCCGAATCAGATTGTTGTACTGACAATTCTGAGAGTGGCGTTGAGGAAAGCGAATCAGAAATTGATTTCGACGAAGAACCATCATCTTCGTCGGCAACCTGGGGACCACCACATCAGCGTGGCAAGAGGAGTGTGAATAATTATTCAGGTGGACCTGTGGGGTTAAATACCAATGAAGCTCCACACGTGAATAAGGATTCCACCCCTTTCTGTGTTTTCATGCTGTATTTCGTAGGGATTATCCGTCTGCTGGTGGAAGAGATGAACAGGTACTACCATCAGCACGTACACAGACGTCAAGACGGACCTTCTCCGCGGCCTGACGTGACCTAATCTGAGATGTTTCTGTTTCTAGGAATAATCATTCAAATGGGATGTGACAATAGAGGCAGACTAAAGGACTACTGGTTGACTCTAGAACAATTTGCCACACCTTTCTACTCTAAGACAATGAAACGCGACCGTTTTCTACACATTCTTCGTTTTCTTCATTTTGCAGACAACAGTACAGAAATTGACAGGAATGCAGACAGTTATGACCGACTATGGAAAATTCGGACCATCTTCGACACTCTCAATGACGCATTTGAAAAATATTATAACCCTTCCGAACATTTGGCCATTGATGAAATAATTGTAAAATACAAAGGGAGGGTGGTTTTTAGGCAGTACATTCCTAAGAAACACAAACGTTCCGGAATCAAAATCTTCAAAATTTGTGACGCCGCTGGGTATACTTATGACATGAAGGTTTATCTAGGAAAAGACAGGACACGGGCCGACCAAGACGTGACAGCGACACATGCTACAGTTAGGGACCTATGCAGATGTATTGAGGGCGTAGGTCACAAACTGTACATGGACAATTTCTTTTCTTCACCCGACTTGTTTGACGAACTGATGACAAAGAACATAACGTGCTGTGGGACAGTCAGGCCTAATCGCAAGGGCTTGCCTGACGATTTTCGACGAAGACAATTTCGACTGAAGAAAGGGGACATTCGTGTTAGGGTGAGACAGAACTTGACAGCACTAGTTTGGAAGGACAAACGTGACGTTTACATACTGACAAATATGCACTCTCCTCCAGCAGAAGGCAGTTTCTGTGATGAGCACGGAAATGCCATGAAGCCAGCAATTGTTGCTAACTACAACAAGCACATGGGTTATGTCGACAAAGCGGACAGGATGGCAAACACTTATAGCATCTGTCGTCGAACCTGGAAATGGACAAATAAATTATTTTTCCATCTCCTGGATCTGACGATTCTGAACAGTTATATCCTGTTGTCATCCTGTGGCGCTAAATTGTCACACAGAGAATTTCGCCTCGCCCTTGTGCGGAACATGCTGGAGCACGCTGGAAGGGGCCCCCCTCGCCCTCAAAGGCCCAGGGGTCGACCCCCTGCCATTTCATCGGAGTCATTTCGAATAGAGGAGGCCAAACAACAGCACCGGCCGACTTCCTCTACTTCAAAATTGAGGTGTCGAGTGTGCTCTTCGCGTGGGAAACGAAGAACCGTCCGGATAAAGTGCGTGAAGTGTGACGTCGGACTCTGCATTTCCGGATGTTTCTGAGATTTCCACACGAAGCCAACATTCCGTTAGATAACGCAGGTGGGAAGAGAGACAACTTATAAAGCTGGTGTCCAAAAATCATGTAAGTAGAAAAAGAATTTATAACTTAAAATTAGATTTTAAAAAGCCAGCCGCACGCGTGGACTGCACGACGACACATGAGTCATTCGTCCCCTTGACTTTATTTTTGTGATGCCATATGTCGCCTTTAAGCTTTAAAAGGTTAATAAACATGAATATACTCGTATACTTTGGAAGTACACAGGTATTTTAGCTTCAAAGTAGCCTCAAGTTTAAGCTCATTAAGCAATATAACTCAAAGCAATAAATGTTGTGACATTATATATATTGGATTTTAATCATAAACACATGTTTAGAATAATATAGAAAAGAACACTTCCAAGAACTGAGTAGATTTTAAAACTGAGTTTAACTAACACTTGCAGCACAGAAACTTAGTATTCTTTACGCTTTAAGATTTCATGCAAGATCCAGTGCAACATGGCTTGTGCTCAGGATACTATAAATGTGTTGATAATTCTGCAAGTAAATATTATACTGCTACTGCTCATACATTGCATAGACACCACAGGAGAAATAGGTATATAAAATCAGCTTAAGTGTTGTGTGCCACATTCAATAATTCACACAATATGGCAATGCAATGTAAGAAACTTGTAAATAAGTTTGCTGCGACCCTAAATATTTAAAAAGACATTACAGAAAATGGAAACCTACAAATATTCAATTCACTAAACAACCAACCAACTAAATCCATGAAGCACAGTCCTCAAAAAGCTACTAGGTGCTTGGCTGGTTAAGAAATTCTCTGCAGCCACATGAATCTATGCACATCCTCACATTCATTTCAATACTTTCCTCCCATCTATGCCAAAGTCTACCACCTGGTCTCTCCTCTTCAGGTTTCTAAAATAAAATTATGCATGCATTTCTCACCTCTCCCATTAAAAAAATGTTTAAAACTCATTTCCAGTACAAGAGACAAGAGAAGATACATACAAGTGTAGAGGAAAAGACAACACAGATTCAAGAAAATATGCATGTGAAGAAAGACAATGATGGAGACTTTGTTGGAGAACAAGGATATTGCCAATGTCTTTTGTTATAAATTCAAAATTTCAAATATACACACATTTCCATTCATTTATAAGAGTAACCATTCTTCACACTTTTGATAAACAGACACAATTCTGTCACAGTATTTTATTTACTTCTCAATGTAGAAACTTAAAAAAAAATGCCAAAATTTAAATAACCAACTTAAAATTAAATATATGAACATTAAACTTACTCAGAAGTTGGGTCAGTCTCATATGTTAGAAGGTACAATGTTAGGACGGAGATTCCAGCAAGAAAACTTAAGAAGCCTATCTCGAATATGACCACATAAGGTAAACAGCACAGCCGTCGCCATCTCCAAGATGATGTAGATTTTACTGTAAACCAGTATAACAGAAAACATTAGTTCAGATACTAGACCAACAGACATTGTTGTTGTTAAAGCACACAGTGCGATTTAAGGAGATCACTGCTCACTGTGCTACTTTGTCTCTTATAAAAACTCCAGCTATATTTACAGTTTTTATTATATTTCTTATTATTATTACATTAAGTGGACTACAGTGTGTGATTTTGGTGCATATTAACGCACTGTAGCAGTGTTAATATATTATGACACCTGAAGATCACCATCTAGGGTGAAAACACGTTATGTTAAAAGTGTAAGTGGAAGAAAGAGGAACAATCTGTTGCATTATTGATGGACCATGTTATACATAGACATTTTACTGTGGCTTGCAACAGGAATTACTTTGTATTAATTTATTTAACATACATCTGATACATGCTCAGCTTTGATGTGTGACATAAACAATTTTATCATTACAAGAACAATAAACAATATTAATAACACAAACAGTACATGAGGTATAAATAAATCCTTTGCATGATCACCTGATTTCGGCCTGAATGCTCTATACAGTCGTGTTGGAAATGCACCATAGTCATTCTCAATAGAGTCATAAAGCGACCCCAGCATCTGCACCACAGAATTCTCTCCTCCTGTTGTGCTACTCACTCGTGTCTGATCAGTGAAGTAGAACCTAACAAGATGTAAGGTAAATACAAAAGACAAAATACTGAAATTTCTAACAACAAATCATAATTCACAATTCCACAGTTTTCATAAAACCAATGGGAGGGGGAAAGTATTAGATCTGTGGTTTCTACCCTTTGTTTTCTCCTATATGAAGAATATAATCACATAGTTTTGAACACCATACCTATTTTCTAAAATTTTCCAGGAGCTCCCAAACTTTGCTCTGGGCCCAAAATCGGCCATTTTTAACATCTCATATCTCCGGTGGAGAAGCTCCGAAAATTTTGAAATTCATAGCAAATAGTGCACCATTCTAGAGCAACTTGACGTTAAAATTACAACTTTTATATTCAACTACTAGCGAAGTTGTGAGCACTTTGAATTAAAAAAAAAAAAACCCCAATACCTCAACAATTGGCTTACCTGCATCCAATGGTATTAGTTCTTTGTGTACTCTGATGAATATTTTCCAGTTTGTTTGAAAGTACACATAGTTCAGTAAGTGTCCACTATCACGAATTCTTCGAAATCATCGGACGTGGATGTTTTATAACACCTGACCATGTTTTCCTCCAGATGGACGACCCGGTGTTTTTCTCTTGTGTGGAGCACAGTTTTACACTTCTGGAACATGCTTTTTAGAATGATTTCATTTCTTGCAACTTCTTCTTTTGGCACAATAAGTAAACTATTCCTGGGATATTTCCTGTGCAGAATATTTACAGTTATAGCGGGCACATGATTTCATTAAAATGAGTTCTTTGAAGACTGGCTTTCGCTGCTTGCCTCTTTGTGGTGCTGCCAATGCCGTCACAGGCATTCTTCCCATGCGAGGTGGCAAAGAAGTTCCATTCTGCTTCAAGTCCGAAGTCTTCATAGTGATGACATAAATTGGAAAGATTCTTTTCGTTTTTATATTGGCTTCCACCGCCGTCACTGAAATAAATAACTTTCCTGACTGAAGGCACATTTTCTTTTATATCGGCAATAAGAAATTTTTGGAACACATAAACTGTGGCTCTATCGTGCTTTACATGATCACTGATTATACACAAGCATGGGCATTTCCTTATAGTGTCCGCCTTGTAGTAATACACAAAAGGGTGAAGTGCAGCCTGTTGATTTACCCACTGGAAACTTTGAATCTCCTCTTGAACGAGAAACGAACAATTTTCTGCAAAATCTGTAAAATTTAAAGTGCCCACAACTTCGCTATTACTTGAATATCAAAGTTGTAATTTTAACTCCAAGTTACTCTAGAATAGAGCATTATTTGCTTTGAATTTCAATTTTTCGAAGCTTCTCCACCGGAGATATGAGATGTTAAAATTGGCCGATTTGGGGCCCAGAGCAAAGTTTGGAAGCTCCTGGAAAATTTTTGAAAATAGGTATGGTGTTCAAAACTATGTGATTATATTCTTCATGTAGGAGAAAACAAAGGGTTGAAACCACAGATCTGATACTTTCCCCCTCCCATTGGTTTCTGAAGGTCAAAAGTAGCGTTTTTCCCAAAATCGATAGATAAGTTTCAAGCTTAATTACACCTAGAGAAAGTGAGTTGAGTAAAATCTTGTAATATTATAATTTGTTGTACATATCATGAGGAACAAATTGGTTTTTCATTGGAGTCTCTAGCTTCAATAATTATCGGGATACAGAAGATAACGCAAACCTCCATTTGAGCCGAAAACGCATGTTTTTGCATTATAGAAACGGCTGTACCGGGAGAACCGAGCGGATCACAATTTTTTTAACATTTTTTTGAGGTGTGAAAATATGTAGAAATATGTGTACAAATTTTGAATTATTTTAAAAATGGTGAGCGACCTTTCTGGATGATTTCACATGGATTGACCCCTTATAATTCCTTCACTGAATGTTATATATAGAAAAAAGCACTTAACTTTTAACAAGAAATCTGGCTAAAGAAATGCATATTATCATGAGTACAAAACTTTATACCAATAAAATGGATGACAAAGCAATGAAAAGACCATTCAAGTATACAATTTAAGTGTTGCATTTTAAATATTTTTCAAATCTGAAATTAAGGTTATATTCTGTACAAAAATAATGTTAGTAATTTCTACTATTTTTCACTGTTACCTCCCATATGTTTGTCATGATGCTGATGGGGACTAAATATTTTAGGACGATAAAGTACTATAAGTCAAATTTAGAAAGTCAGCCATACTCAGTGTTTTAAGGCTTTTCACAAAAGCTGCTTGGAGTAAATGTCACTATAGAAAGCTTCCACCATGACATCCGACCTCATTCAGATTCGAGTCTATTCATGTAATTGCTTCTAAAAAGGCTTATGAGGTTAATATCAGTGACTAAAATACAGTCAGATTTAAATATCAAAAGTACCAGCCAACACCAAGAAGCTATCATAACATGTGCTGATCAAAGTGCAGACTGGAATTATCAACCGTTAATGTAAAGCATTTACGTTCTCACATACGGAATACCATTTCACAATGTAGTTAAATATTACATCATGTAGCAGAAGAATAAGACATACCTAACAGGTTGTGCTGTAAGACCATCATTCCAGCGAGCTCCTGGTGGATGACAGAACATCACTTGCAGAATGAGCTTCAGTGAATTCAGTTTACGAGTAACATATACATGGAAGCTGTATGGCCAGTACCAGTCATACCTAGGCAAGGGACAGCACAATGAAAGTTTAAAGGAAGAATTTTTTATTGTAATGTAAAAGGAAGGCCCTGATCTGTTAGAAGGGTGAAAAAATACAATATTACAATGTATATATAATTTCCAAATTATGAAATCATTTCTCTAAAGAAATGTACTTATCCCTGCCACAGTTTTGGGTCTGAGCTGCTTAATGAAGTTGTGGGAACCTCCCACATTCTAACACGCAGCTTTGCCGGTCTAACAGACAACATTTAACTTCTGCTCAAGCCAAGTCAATGTCACATTGCGACCACCTGTCATATTTATATAGCACTCGCTTTCCAGCCGCCCTGGAAATCATCGTGGATGCTGGCCAATCAGCGCTCACAATCACAACTGCACCTCTAGCTCCACCCAGAAAGCATGGTATATAAGGCGGAACTCAAAACTCGCTATCATCAGTTCTTCTTCAATCATCTTCACTCCGCTGAAGACAGCAAACGTAGCTACGCTGACGTCACGAGGCAGCAGCTCTCCAGCAAACAACACTGACACAGCTAACTACACCAGCATGTGCACTACAGCATCAGGCTAGCTAGACTCCACTCTCATGCCGACTCGTAACCGCTGAGTGGCCATAAAGAAGGCCCGAACTATCTGACTAGGCTTGCTACTATCTTGCCCGCTCGTAACCATTCAGTGACCATAAAGGAAGGCCAACGCTACTACTAGCGCAAGCATGGCAGAACAAATGGCCCCTTTCAGGCACCGCAAACTTGTGAACAACACACACATAAATACATATATATACATCGAGATGGCTTCCCAGCCATTCTGTACATTTGAGAATACCATATACAACTGTTACAGTTTTACGTGGCTGTCTCTTAGAACATTGACATCCCACAAAGTAAAGAGGAAAGACAACACATCTCTCTATTCTTGAACATCTATGTAAACAAAATACTGTATATTACTTTATGTCGTGATTACTAACCACAACAGTGCAAGATAACATGTTGAACAGAAAGTATAAGTAAAAATTTTAACATTTTAATGTTGTCTCCAACTATTACTTTGAAAAACAATATTTATTTTTGTTGCAAGAGCTCAGATTTATTCCTGATTACTGAGACTGAAACAACATTGTGTTAGATTTGAGGCTTTCACGGCGGTGACTATGAAGAAAGCAGTCTTCTGGGATTTGGCGCCGTGTATATGTGGTGTTAACCGACGTTTCGGAGGAACGTATCGCCCCCATCTTCAGGGTTGAAGAAAAAGTATAGGTAAATCTGCAAGCGACAACACCGTGAGATACGGTAAAGCAGACATGTCAGACATGTAAAGCATGTCTGCTTTACCGTATCTCACGGTGTTGTCGCTTGCAGATTTACCTATACTTTTTCTTCAACCCTGAAGATGGGGGCGATACGTTCCTCCGAAACGTCGGTTAACACCACATATACACGGCGCCAAGACTGCTTTCTTCAACATTGTGTTATATCCCACAAGACAGAATTCTTCATAACCATAGGTGTGAGATTAAATCTTACATTAAGCATCCATGTACAGAGCTGTATAACTGCAAAGCACATATAGAAACTTTGTAAACTTTAAAATGGGGTACTGTTGCATACATATTTCCACTCTTGTTCATAGTTTCCAATCAGCAGATCACAAGCTAATACCAAATGAACTAAAAATAATATTCTGCTGGTAGGGTTATCACGAATTAAAGTTTTTAATCAGCATTACTATATTGCCGATGCCTACAAATAACACACTGACTGAAATGAAGATATATTTGGTGATATATGATACAAACTCCATCCTACACACGTCAATTTTGACTTTCATGAACTGGCACTTTTAAAATTTTCAGTTCCAATTTTAAAAAATTCCTAGTCAAAATTGATGTGTGTAGGTAAGAAAGATAATGTACGAAGCAGACAAATATCAGCGAAGTAGATTCTGTTAGCAACGACGAAGGCAACAATTGGGAAGACCTGTGTTTTTAAATTTTAAACTAAGTGCAGTGTAACAGCTACGTGAGTGTATGCACCTGATGATGGCCGTTTGCGGCCGAAACATGTAGTGTAGAAGAAAGCAAGACAAAAGACCTACAATAAATTGTTATACTTAGGACGGAGTTTATACCATATATTGTATAGAGTGCAACAGGATGCTTAAATATAATATATTTGGTGATATAAAACATTTCAACATTCTTATACTCTGAAATAAGACTGAAGAAAAAGGGGACCAAAAAGTCTCTGTGATAACTAAAATTTTCCGAGAATTGTGTGTAGTTGCAGAAGCAGAAATCTAAAAATGATATTTCAGTTCTCAGATTATGATATTCTGAAACAAATCCTGTTCACTTATGTATAAAAAATATATATTAATCAAGAGATTACATACCTTTGACTGCCATACCAAACAAGTATTAGGAATGTGTAACAAAGAAGAACCAATCCACCACCTGAGCACACACCAATTATCCATGACCTGACTGCCAAACCAATTACCATACCAGCAAGCAAGGCAGTGTGTACAATAACTAATAATAAAAGGGATGAAAACTGGAATACTGGGTCTACCCACTGACGGGCAAAGTTCTTCATTTCCTCTAGAAAGATACAAATATTGCATAAGATACAAGTTTTATTTTTACAACATATTAACACGACTCAGGGCTAGTGCAAGTCTAAACGCTGCCCCAGGCACCAAGAAATTCTGCGCCCCCCCAATTATTACAACTCAACTTTTGAAATTTCTAAAAAATTTGTCACAATTAATGACCTGAATTTTCAAGACACTGTGATGGAACTGCTACTGGTGTCATAATTCTTAAAACAATACTCAATGAAACAGTAATAAAGATATTGAGTCATTTAGTCACAGCAATTGCAATGTCGCTGTCAGTCTGAGATACAGAAACTAGATGACACCAGTACTTGAAATTTGCAATTACATTTACTTTGTTACATAACATGTTTATATGACTGCTGACTAACAGTCAAAATATGAATAAAAGGGCAGCATAAATTAATTTTCATTTAACCAAGGGGGGTGGGTTAACACTGGACACCCATAAAATTGTGCTGATCTAGGTGGCCGCTCTATTCACTTGTTCTCTGATGCTGGCCTTGGCACTACCAATTTCTAGACAAATCAGTAACTTAAAATATGCTGTTGATGTTGCCACTTCTTTATTGTACATACCACAATCAGTAAAGAAAAGAAAAAAAAACTCCATGATTTTAGTCTGCAAGCGAACTATACTGACAGAGTGAGTCACCGCCGCTTATTGGCAAAGTTAGTGCCAACTTTTGCAGATCGATGGTGTTGCGTGGCCAGTGCAATGAATCCCCACGGCCGTTAATTTCGGTTTTCTAGACCAGAGCCGCTATCTCCTTGAAACAGCTTCTCAATTATCATGAGGCTGAATGGAACCCGTTCCAGAACCACTATTTCTCAGAAAAATTGGTAGTGCCAGGAATCGAACCCAGACCTCTAGATCTGTAGCCAGGAATGGTGACCACTAGACTACAGAGACGGTCAGTATTTTGTCAAAACAACAGGCATATTCTAGGACCCTAAACTGATGCACATCATAGGTTTCATGCTACAGCAGCCCATAGCCCATATGGCCACAGTAGAGTTAGTAACCATCAGCCCTGAATGATATTGGGACAGGTTTTGTCCTCAAAAATAACAGCAGAAAGCTATGTGACTGAGTTGCAATTAAATAAAATTAAATGAAGTAAAATAGATAAAATTAACATAAAATGGTAGAAGAGCTATAGGTGAAGTGTAGAAATCAGCAGTCAATTTTCATCGTCAATTCATATCATCTACATGTTGATTTTCTGATCTTTCCAGTAAATATGATGTAGTGTTACCAATTTTGCATGCATTTATTTTTGTACATAATTATATAATTACACACAAAAATAAATTAATATAAAATTGAAAATATTAGGTCACGTTTAGAAACAGATAAAAGGTCTATATATAGAGGATATGAATGACAATAAAAAAATTGACTACTGATACCTAAATTTCATCTATAACCTCCATACCATTTTAAAATTGTTCATGTAGATATAGATGACTAAGTTTTGAATAATCTGTGTAAGACTACTAATCACATTGTAAATATTCCTTTCAATAATTAGATGACTGCCCCTGACATTGGCTTAGGGCTGAAAAACGTATGGAAATATAACAGTGATCGACTAAATAGCTTTTCTCATGTGAACAGTTCAGCAGTAATGACTTCTATTATATTCATTCTTAATTATGGAAACATAAACAGAACATGCCTGTCAGTCATACATACCTCTCAGTTTGTTCAAAAGGAAGGACTTGCCACTACCCCATTTGGCATACAGTCCAACTGTTATAGGCATTGAGAGTGATGGTTCACTAAGGATATCTGCCAAAGCACTACTGTACAAATCATATCCTAACATGTTCTCATTGTCTTCATTTGTGTTTAATCGCCCTAGAAACAAACATACAAAGCTTAGTAACAGTTAATAAAGGCCATCATTAAGAAGATTAAACAACTGGTCCCATGTCCACAGTACTAAAATCAGGACTCAAGGAACAGTGTGGAACAGTGATTTCCTATTCTGGAAATAATTAGTATTTTTCTCACTTTGACTTACTTGCTCCAAATATCTGACCCAAAATAGTTTTCTGATGATTCATGTCAATGTTATATGGTGTCTCTCCCGACCTATTTGGCCGATATAACAGTTGGCTATTTTTAGGGTTCCTTAAAAGTACTTCCACTATACCCTGGAAAAGAATAATACTGAATTCAGTTTTGCTTTTCAAGAAGGTGCAACATAATTAGGTTTTGTCTCCTAGATCTTATCCATCATCCAAGAATAACACCTAGACAATGGAGAATGTTCAAGATATGAAAACTTTCAACACTGAAGTTAGTAAACTAGGTAATAAACCAATGATATTTTTTACAAATTTTTAATGTATTATTATTATGTGAAATCATTTTATGTAGAAGCATAAATAAAAGCCTACACTTGGCAAATAGCATTTACTGCTTTCAGACCTACAGCATATCATCAGGATATCAGAAACATCTTACTGTCAGACAGTGTTGCAAGCCTGAGGTTTTGCTCTAATTCTATTTGGCTTTGAAAGTTCTCATTCTTTACTGTTTGAGCTCAGGGTTAAAAATGAACACTAACATTACCTTTGATCTGGCTCTCATTGCTATATGAAGAGCAGTGTCTCCTTTCTTATCATTTGCTGAAACTTTTGCCTTTTTGTCAAGAAGAAGTTGCACAATTTCAATATTTCTGATTCTCACTGCTCTCAAAAGTGGAGTGTCTCCATCCTAAACAACAAACCAATTAGTCTTATAATAACATTTTTCCATAACAAGGAACAAACTTCTATAATTTCTTAAAACAGACAGGCATATATGTAAATATCATCCTGTATAATACCTAGTATGTTACAAAAAATTATAATTTAAGAAACGAATATAAAAATGGATGAGGGACGAAGATCAGATACTGGCTACCTACCTTCAATGCAGATCCTGTTTTAGAGTGGTGGCATCAGGCAGATGTGAACTGTACTGTGTGTTGTAACAGTGTGGGTGGATACTTACAGAGGAACCTGCTGCTCCCATCTTCATGACTGAAGTATGACCAATTAATAACAAGCATGCAAACCTCAAAGCTTATATTGGACTGCACTGCTGAAATGTCAGAAATCTTTATGATGAAGTATGGCCAGAAAGGATTTCTGAATGCTGGCAACACAACCCACACTATACAGTACCACCATTAAACAACATGATCCATGTTAATAATGAACCATTATGAAATCCTCAGGTTAGTTAATTAGTTATTTGGAGAGGGTGGGTTTCCCCATGCACTTAGACCTGTATTGGTCCATTGTTCTTCCCTCTATGATTTCTACCAGTCTCTATATCCTACCGGTACTGGTGCTTACAATCCGTCCTGCCCAGCCAGCGAGACTGGCTCTACTAGCTGAGAGGTATCTATAATGCTTTCCCCATCTACCAGAGGTATTAGAGACTGCTGTTGGGCGGGAAACATCCGTAATTTGGCTCAGTGACCTCCTTAGGAGATATGAGATTCTTTTACGTGCCGTAAAACTACGACATGGGACCCACGGCTTAAAGTCCCTCCCGGAGGACTTGTTCCCTGAATTTTTCCGCCCTTAAAAATTCGACGATCTCCGCCGGGTATCTGAACCCGTGTACTACGAGTCATGAGGTGGGAACGTTACCTCTAGACTATGGAGGCCCCTAATCCTCAGGTTACTTGTAACCTACCTTTCATGATGTGTATTTGTACCAATTGTCTTACAGGAAGACACTAGTGAAATGCTACATTTGGAGCATAGCTCTGTATGGGGCTGAAACATGCACACTTAGGGCAGTAGATCAGAAACATCTGGAAAGTTTTGAAATGTGGTGTTGGAGAAGGATGGAGAAGATCAGTTGGACCGATTATGTGAGAAATGAAGAAGTGTTAATTAGAGTCAGTGAGCAGAGGAATATCCTACACGAAATAAGAAAATGGAAGGCTAATTGGATTGGTCATGTTTTATGCAGAAACTGCCTTCTAAAAGAAGTTATCGAAGGAAAGATAGAGGGGCGGATAGAAGTGACAAGAAGACGAGGAAGAAGATGTAAGAAGATGCTGGATGACTCTGGGGACAGAAGAAGGAGGAAGCTCTAGATCGCATTAAATGGAGGAATTGTTTTGGAAGAGACTGTGGACTGTCGTCTTGAAAGATTACTGATGATGATGATGATGATGCCTTACAGTGCACACAATTTCACATTTCTCTTCACTACATGTTTCGGCACTAATGTGCCATCTTCAGGTGTGGTTTTGTTTACGTCAAACCACTGCACTGTATGCCATCATGTCTCCTTTATAAAATGATTAAAATGTAAATATGTCATGTATAATAATAGAACTTATATATTAAAACTTTTCAAGATTTATCATCTATACGTTGCACTTCAAATTCACGAGTTACGTCAATCCTCTCCTAGGAGTACTCTTCCTATATTCTTGTGTATATCTGCAACGTGAAAATGTTACTCATTAAAACCACGTTCCAACTTCTATCTGATACGTGTGGTTTTACAATGTCTAATACTCACTGTGTCCTGTGTTGTGTCCTTCCCTTGTGACTGCGTGCGTTGTATTGCTGGATATGTGTGTGTGTGTGCTGTCTTCATATTGATTGAGTTATGATGTTGTGGGGGTAGGTGGTGGGGTGTTATGTTGTCCTGCGTAAATAGTGTGTAATTCGTGAAATATTGGGTTACATATTTCTTTATTTATATTGTGCATGCATGTTTTTCTTGTTGTTCTGTATATATGATAGTTTTCTAATGTGTTTAAATATTGTCCTTTCTTATTCGTTGCTATGATCTCCATAGTATTTTCTATTGTACCATATGCATGTCCTGTGTTTAATACGTGTTCTGAATATCCTGTACTGCTGTTATTGTGTCTTATGTCGTGTATGTGTTCTTTGTATCTGGTATTAAATTTCCTCCCAGTTTGTCCTATATATAATGAGTAATATTTTCACATTGCAGATATACACAAGAATATAGGAAGAGTACTCCCATAGGAGAGGATTGATGTAACTTGCGAATTTGAAGTGCGACGTATAGATGATAAACCTTGAAAAGTTTTAATATATAAGTTTTATTATTATACATGACATATTTACATTTTAATCATTTTATAAAGGAGACATGATGGCATACAGTTCAATGGTTTGACATAAACAAAACCACACCTGAAGATGGCACATTAGTGCCGAAACATGTAGTGAAGAGAAAGGTGAAATTGTGTGCATTGTAAGACGGTTGGTACAAATACACATCATGAACGTGAATCAGTGCAACAGGACGCTAAAATATAACATTAGTAACCTACCTTTGTTGAAATTTCTAGATCTGGATTGGCACTTAACAGAAGCTTCACCATGGCAACATTTCCCTTTTCTACAGCCCAGTACACTGCTGTTTTCCTATCCTAAAGTAAGAAAAGATCACAACATTAATAACAAAAATAGTTTTTGAAATTTCAATGCAGATTATCTCTCTAGAGCAGTGTTACTATAGCTTGAATTAAATGAAGACCACAATGAACAACCACTTTACTTTACTTTACTTTCATTCATTCATCAGTCATTCATCAGTAATCTGTCAGATGACAGGTCCACAGTCTCTTCTAAAACAGTTCCTCTACTTAATATGATCTCAAACTTTCTCCTTCAAATGAGATTATCCTCTTCTGTCCCCAAGGTCATCCAGCATCTTCTTACATATTTTTCCTCGTCTTCTGGTATCTCTGTTCTTGGAAAGAGACTATCCAGGAAAAGTGATAATGTGGTAGTTTTTCCATTTGCTTTCCACATCGCAGTACAACAGCCATTCAAACCACTCTGGTCACGCCTGTTGCTATACGAACTTGAACCATCTCGAGCATCATTTGCTCTGTGCTTCAAGTCACTGATGATGACGCTGCTTCCGGCATCAATTTTTGGTTTTTGGTGTCTCTCTTCGTCTGATGCCTACCCTTTGACCTGTCCAGCAAGGGGGACCTTGCTAGTAGCTATGCTACCGCTGGTATAGCTCTCAGGGTCCTTGGCATACTCAAACCCCCTCTTCACGATAAGGTGGAGACACCATGGACTTTCATTGGTAAAAATAACAAAGAGAGAAGATTTATTTTATATTGGCATCACAATTCCAATTTAAAACTGTTCTAATAATGTACTGACTATATAGAAAGACACAAAAAATTAAAGTGTTTGAGACCCTTTAAGGGAAGTTATCATGCTCCCCCCTCCCTGTTCCCGTCCACAGAAACCCAGTTATGTGTGGAAACTTCAAATTAAAATTTAATACAAAATATTTATTAGTATGAAGTACGTACTTAAAATGGCTATTTAAAACTGTCAAATAAGTTTATGCAAACTGAAACTTACTTTCCCAGGAATGTCAACATCTGCATACTTCTTGAGTAAGGCTTCAACTACCCCTCTATGGCCTCCTTTAACTGCATGTATAAGGTTCGTATCTCCTGCACGATCCTGAAAATGAAAATTATGAAGTCAGCATGATTAATAAATGGGGAATCATGGCGCGTGGTTAAGGGGCTTACTGTCACCATTGTTAACCATATCTACTCTGTACTGAATCATTTGTGTTGCCTTCTCAGCATGTAGAATGTTCAATCTCAGTAACATTTTTTCAAGATGAAGGAAAATGTTTATGGAAAGAATTTATATTAAGAGGTCTATGGTAGTTATTATCTTTCACATATACAAACATGAGTGACATCAGTTCTTTAAGGAGTATTCAAAATCTTAAACAGTTTTGGCAGCACACACAATAAAAATATACAGACAGGTTCTGCAAGGAAAGAATATTTGAAATTCTCAAAATTTTCCTTATTCATCTTTATGAGAGTTCAAACTTTCACCAACAAGAAAACAAATTAGCTGAAGGAAAAATTACGGGGAAACAAGTTATTTGAAATGGTCATATCCTTAAGAAAAAAGGACAAAGTTCTGAAGAAACAAAAAAATATTTGATTGCAGTGATACTGAATTCGGTGCAGCCTTGAATTTCAGTTAATCACAATTAAGGGAAAATGGAATACAATTCTGTTAATACATAAAGTCATCTATATCTCACCTGTATGTTTATATATGCTCCCACATTGAGCAAAGCTACAGCAATTTCATGGAATCCTTCCTTGCAGGCTAGAGTTAGTGCTGTGCAGCCATCCTTGTCCAAGGCATTCACATTAGGTTTATGTTCCAGCAAACGGTTCACCACATCCACATGATTCCCTAAAGTTGCTACCAACAGGGGTGTCCAGGAGTACTACAGCAAAATAATATTAACAGTAATCTACAATTATTAGTTTGTTGTAAATTGTGTAGATAACTATGAACACATTAAGTATCATATCTCTCACTTAATAGCAATAACCAAACTTCTGTTTACTAACACAAACAAACACACTTTCATTTACTCAGTCTCTCCCTGGTAGGATAATCCAAAGGTTCTACATTGTCAGTATGAAAGCCTACCATTGGGGTTACCTTTAAGGCAGTTCCACTCACTTCCCATCCTTTTACACCTTAGAATAATCTTAAGTTATTGCAGTGGTGAATTAAAAAGGGTTCTGACTGTCTTTATATACATGTCTGAGTGAAAGAAGCAAGAAACACAAAGGATTTTGTGGCTGACTAGCTAGAACACAGATATGGAGACTGGCTTGTAATTTCAAAAGGCTTTCGTGCTACAGTGCTGAATGTTTGGTGCTCTGACACCAGAAGGGTGGTTTGCTAGTTTCTCCACCAAACTCTACATCTCCCCACTTTTATTAGCATTGAATCAACCTTGCCTCAGTTATAACAGAAAACATCACTCAGTTCCATTATGTCAAGCTACAAGGCAGGGTGGCTGTGTCTTTGGTGGGGACATATCATAGACCAGGGATGCGTTGAGACACAGCTTTTGAGCACCTCCCCGTAGTCCTGCTGGGCAACGACAGTCCTGGGGGGTCTGCATTAGTGTGAACCTCCGGGGCTGGCGGCTGAGGTTCCATAAAGGGCAATGGCCATTTGACCAGAGCCTCCCACATTGCGGCATAATGACTCTCGGGTTTCATTACGATGTACCCAGGACGAATGCGGGAGAGCACTCCTATGGGGGTAGCTACGGCTATTTGAGTTGTCTCCCTAGAGTACCGACAAGGTGCTGCAAGCCTTAGGGCTCAACACTCTAGAATGGTTTCGACCAACCCATGTGGTGGGGTGGGAATGGGGAAGTTTTGAAGCAACCTCCAGGGGCGGTAAGTTCGTGTAGGTTGCTCTGGTCACATCCTCATGACAATTAATATCGCACTCCCAGTTATCTGGGATACCCCCCTCCCCCCGAACATGCACTCTTGGTCCTGGATGCTTGTAAGGGTTATACTTATGAAGGACCAACCGCCTAAGCCAAGGTGTGAGGCATCATGGCACTGGGGTTGTTATTGGCCAGTGTCACGAATGATCCCCTCGGGGCACCAGGCAGCACCCCGTTGTATTTATGCCTTCCACCCGTATGGGGCTCTGTGGGTGGTGACCTTGTAAATCCCCATTACTCCTGGGACCAAAATGAAAAAGGGACCAAACAAAAAAAACCGGTCGTAAGGACCTTAAACTGAAGAGGGACCCCCCTTTAAGGGGATCCCTACGAGAAATGCTTCAGCTGGGGGCTGGAAGCTCTGGTGAACCATTAAGGGGCTCAGAAGCAACCGGAGAACCTACTGTTGTAATTTCAGCCAGGGGCAGGGATGAACCAATGATTCAAAACCTACCAGAGGCAAAACCAAAAAATTGGAAGAGATCATGAGATTTCTCCAAATCAACCTACACCACAGCAAAGCTGCCACGGCAGCTCTGTGTCAACATCTAGCTGAGGGTAAGGCTGACATAGCACTTATTCAGGAACCTTGGTTATACAAGGGTCGAATAAGGGGCTTAAATAATACAGGGGGAACAGTTTACTCTGTTGCACCCAGTAATAATGCAAGATCTTGTGTTTATATCAGGAATCATGTTAATGCTTTGCCTTTGCTGAAGCTCTGTTCTAGGGACGCAACAGTGGTATGGATAACATACCCGTATCGAGAAGGCAGCAAGGAGCTTATAATTGCTCCAGTCTACCTTCCATACGACTCGGATGAACCACCGCCAACTAAGGAAATGAGGGACATCATAGACTACTGCTTTAGCACGAAAAAGCAACTCATCATTGGGTGTGATGCCAACGTGCACCACATTTTGTGGGGGAGCACTGGCCCTAACCCAAGGGGAGAGAGCCTTATGGAATTTCTGGTGAGTTCGAACCTGAATATTCTAAACCAGGGTAACGAACCTACCTTTGTGGTTTGCAATAGGAAGGAGGTTATTGATTTGACACTAGGGACTAACAACACAGAAAACCTGGTAAGTAATTGGCATGTATCTGATGAGCTGTCTCTATCGGATCACAGATACATATGCTTTAAAATAAGTAACATCACAGTAGATCAAACTACTTATAGGAATCCTAAGAGAACCAATTGGGAGTCTTACAAAGACGACCTAAAGGTAAATCTGGAGGCCATCTCGTGTAATATATGCACAATAAAGGATGTTGATCGGTCCGTTGACCAGTTGCAACGGGCTATTATCTCATCCTTTAATCAGAATTGTCCGGCTAGGACCACTCGCGGGCCAAGGAGTACACCTTGGTGGAATAAACAGCTGAGTGGGCTTAGGATCAAAACAAGATGGCTGCTTAATACAGCTAAAAGAACAGGGCAGTGGGACACCTATAAGGAAGCCCTGACCTGTTACAAGAAAGAAATAAGGAAAGCCAAGCAATCCTCATGGAGGAGGTACTGCCAGGAGATCAATGATGTACCAGGCAGTGCCAGACTCATGAGAATCATGGCAAAACAGGTGACCAATAAGGTCAGCACAATTAAGCTGCCTAACAGACAGTATACTCAAACAGGACGGGAGACGCTCAATGAATTATTCAGAGTTCACTTTCCTGATTCAAAATTGATTGACAAATTGGACAATGGACAGGGTCAGCAGGACCTGGACACTTGCCAGAGCAAGATGGACAGGGTGGACTGGGACCTGGCCAAAGTCATAATTAATCAGTCAAAAATAAGATGGGCCCTGAACACTTTTAGACCATTTAAATCAGCGGGAACGGATGGAATTGTACCGGAACTTTTGCAACATGGGGCAGAACTTTTAGTTCCACATCTATGTCGTGTATATAGAGGCTGCTTGGCATATGGTTTTATCCCCACAGCCTGGAGGCAGGTTAAGGTGACGTTTATTCCAAAGCCCGGGAAACTTGATTATACCGAGGCTAAGGCTTATCGCCCTATCAGCCTGTCGTCTTTCCTTTTGAAAACGATTGAGAAACTAGTGGATAGGCATATTAGGGACGGGGTACTGAGGACATGTCCTCTACACCAAAACCAACATGCCTACCAAACAGGTAAATCTACCGAAAGTGCACTAACCAAGTGGTAACATGCATAGAAAGTGCAACTGAACACAAGGATATTGCCTTAGGAGCATTCCTTGATATAGAGGGAGCCTTTGATAGAACCTCATTTGATGTAATCAAACAGGCCGCTGGAAGGCATGGCATAGAGCCTGCAATATGCAGATGGATCAATGCTATGCTGGAAAGCAGAATCATAGCTGCTACATTATCGGGAGAAACCCTGGGGGTGTCCGCACCTAGGGGATGTCCACAGGGGGGCGTACTTTCACCTCTGCTGTGGAGCCTGGTCGTTGACGATCTCCTGTGGGGACTTAATGATGATGGGTATTATACAGTAGGATACGCTGATGACATAGCAATCCTCATAAATGGAAAATTCCTTTCGACCGTATCAGAGCGTCTTCAGTCAGCTCTATACATGGCCCAACGATGGTGTGAAAAAACAGGTCTCTCCATCAATCCCAACAAGACGGTAATCATACCATTTACTAGGAAGAGAAATGTAAAGGGTCTTAAGGAACCGATTCTCTTCAATAAGACAATCCAGCTCTCCAGCCACGTCAAGTACCTTGGTCTAATATTAGACAAGGGACTGACATGGAAAAAGCAGCTGGACAAAGTCATTAAAGCCTATAAGGCTTTTTGGACATGCAGGGGCATGTTTGGTAAAACTTGGGGACTACAGCCACACATTGTACGTTGGATATATACTGCGGTTGTGAGACCTATAATTACTTATGGTGTCACAGTATGGTGGCCCAGAGTTAAATTCAAGACAAACAAGACAGAACTTGGCAAATTGCAAAGGTTGGCTTGCTTAGGTATTACAGGAGCATTTCGAACATCTCCAACAGCTGCACTGGAGATACTCCTTGGACTCCCCCCACTGCATATGCAGTTGGATGCAGAGGCCAGGGCAGGAATTTACCATCTCCAGTGCTGTGGACAATGGAAACCTGGATCTGATGGTTTCGGCCAAGCAGACATGACTCAGGACATGAAAACAGAACCCATATTACAAATGGGGTCTGACAAAATGATACTGAGACATGTATATGAAAAACCTTTCACAGTCAGATTTTCTGAAAGGAGTGAATGGGAAGATGGGTTTCAGGCTGACAGAAAAGGGGGACTGATCTGGTATACAGATGGTTCCAAGACATATAGAGGCACTGGAGCTGGTGTGTACTGTCATGGTACGAGGCAGAAACTTAGTTTCAGCCTTGGGCGGTACACGACAGTATTCCAGGCAGAAGTATATGCCATTAAAGCATGTATTATGGAGAATTTAGATAGGAACTATAGAAATAGGAACATCTATATTCTATCTGACAGCCAAGCAGCACTCAAAGCACTTGACAAACACCAGATCAATTCAAAATGGTCTGGGATTGCCACCAAACCCTCATGGAACTGGCCAAACATAACAGGGTACAACTGATATGGGTGCCGGGGCATGAGGGTATTACTGGAAACGAAGCAGCAGACCAATTAGCTAAAACTGGAGCTGAACATCCATTCATAGGACCTGACCCAGCCTGTGGCATTTCTCTAGAAGTTGCCAAACAGGCAATCAGGGACTGGACTAACATAAAACATAAGAAATACTGGGAATCCTTAACTGGACTCAGGCAAGCTAAGGGACTCATACGAATACCCTCCGATAAAAGAGCGAAGGAACTGTTGAAGCTCAACAGGAACCAGCTACGATGGGTGGTAGGACTACTTACAGGACACTGTCACGAAACAGCCACACACGTCCTGTGTGAATGTGAGGCTTTAGCTTCTTTAAGACTACGTCACTTGGGTCAGTACTTTATGGAACCAAGTGACTATTTCGACGCCCCCACGTCCAAAATCCTGTGCTTCATCCGAAGCGTGGGGTTGCTGAGGGAATAATTAACCCGTTGCCGTGGTTCGTCGTGTATGTTTCGTCAGGGATTTAAATCGTCTGGGGGGGTTCGACGTGTATGTTTCGTTCAGCTGCACACCTATGTTATAACGCCCATAATAATTGATGGTTTTGCTGTAGATTGTTAGATTTTTCGCTGGCCTGTTGTCAGTAGAACAGAGTATAAATAAGACACGACTTTATCTGCGCCAAGACATCGTTACATATGCCTGTCTTGCAGCAAAGTTCCTGTGGTTCTGGCGAGCGGTTTCTAGCTGTACTGTTATGAAAGCGTGTTTTCTTTGCTTTGAAGATATAAACAGAAGAGACGTGATGTTTACTGTTGTATATGATATCATATTGCCCTGAGCTGGCCACATTGACACACTCAACTGGAATTCTTAGAATAAGGTTGTCCAGAAATTTATTCTCGCATGATCCATTGATTTCGCACAGTACAAAGGCCCAGTTCTGAGAAAAACGCCACAATTTAAGGCAGAACACTGTGGTCACCCCCTGAGACGATACGGATGTGTGTGGGGGAGGGAAAAGTACTCATTATCGCTCCAGTTGACGCCATTTTATCGTACTGACCTTGGTGGTCGTTTCGAGGGATGACCATAAATATTTTTTTTGAGCCAGCTAAGCTCTGCTTTCGTTCTCTATATGCCAGCCAGTTCTTATAATAACTTCATGAATTCTGTGGTCACCCCTACGACGTCTGGGGAGCCGAAAAGGTTGGAATCTGAAACGCAGAAGCACCAAACCCTTGTTATGATAGCACAAAGGTTGAATGTTGAATTGTATGAAGTGTGGTTAGAAAAAAGAAAGCAAAAGTAAAGATACGCAGTATTGGTTTGGTGATTTGAGCCAGCGCTGTGTTTAGACTAATGCTTCAAGGCGTCACCTGCTTACATAGCCGAGATACCGGGTGCTCATATTATAAGGCAAGGTTATAAAACCATCTTTTAAGATCATTTTAGTGAAAGTTTCATGTTCCTATCTCATAGAATTTAAGAACAATGATGAATAAATAATTTTCGAGCAAAATTTAAATGGCCGGCTGAATATATTACCGCAGGAGCCGCGGCCGCGGAATTTAAATGACCACGTCAAAGGGTTAAAAAGGGGAAGCACAATGGACCACTGAGTTCTAAGTGCAAGGGCCAAGTAGGCCTACCCCTTCATACATACATACATGTCAAGCTACAAAATGAGGCTGCTATAATTCTATTTTCATACCACCAAGAGGAAAGAAAATACAAAGTATAAAGTATAAAAGTATAAAATGCATAAGCCCAATAAAGGAAAAAAGTTGAACCATAATCTAGCTTCTGAATTAAAGAACTATCTATCTAACTGTTCACATGACACCACATAACAAGTAATAAGAACTCCGATGAACTGAATGGTGTGAAAGTAATGAAGACAACCTATATATCTATAACTGAATTATGTGTATCCATCCATTCCTAATTTCACATTACTAACAATGGTTGATTAATTTCACAACTTCTTTTGGCTTGTCTGATCTAATTTTCTCACACTGTCTTTCAGAAGAAAAATGAGGAAACTGGTCCTCAAAAGCTGTTTCTATACTGGTCAAATATTCATTTATCATAGCATATCATTCCCCCATTGCCTCTTTGTTGAGAACTATAAGTACTGTCATCACTTCATTCTGAAGAGTGAGGTAGGTAGTACTCCAAAATAACAGCAACCCAGCACAATAAAGTATCAACATCCCAGAACAGAAAGAGTGTTTAAAAGTATCAGTCTCAAATGAAAGTCTATAGACTGGGTTTTCAATAAAGAACAGTCACTTGAAAATGGATAAAATATTACGGACGGAAAGAGAGAGACAAAGAGGCAGAAAATATTAATGAAGGGCTAACATGATGGTTCAAACATCAGCTAATCACTATAGCATAGTGTAATGTGCTTTTTCTATCATTGATGCTTATTACAAATACAAAGTAACACCTGTATGATATGAGGGAGAGTTAGTAAATAGGTCACAAATGGAAGTAAAACAGTTGTAATGGATGTACCATGTTCTCTATTTGTATCATTAGGTAGAAGGGCAGTCCAGCTTCATGGCAGTCTAGGTAGCAGACGTCCATATGCATGGTTTGAGGCTGGTTTCAGTAGTCAAAATGGCGACTGTGCTTGAGGAATGTACTACCAGAGAGCAGTGTCCTGTTGTGCGTTCTTTTGCGGGCAAAAGGAAGTGTTTATAGCATAAAGCGGTTTACAACTGGGTTCTTAAATTCTCTCAAGAACTTTCGAAAGATGCAGATGATGCCTGACCAGGTCGCCTTGTTAAGACTGTGCAGCAGGTGGAAGAGTTGATTCAAGCTGACAGGAGGATAATGATAGACAGTGTAGCAACTGCACTAGGGTGTTCCCATGATTTAACATACAGCATAATGCAAGATCGTTTGAAATTTTGGAAAGTGTGCACATGATGGGTGCCCACTGAACTGAAGGACTGAGAAAAAATGAACCAAATGGGTCTGTCCTTGCAATATCTTTTATGGTATGCAGATGAAGGAGAAGATATGCTTAACAGGATTGCCACTGGGGACGAATCACGGGTGCATCACTACCAACCCAAATCAAAGCACACTTCAATACAATGGAAACATCCAAGTTCACTTTCAACTAAAAAGTTTAAGGTTACATCATCAAGTGGGAAGGTCATGCTTACCGTGTTTTGCTCATTTTCAGAAGTGTGGTGAAAATGTGAATTCTGCATCATACTGTGAAGTTCTATTGAAGCTTTGGGATGCAATTCATAGAATATGTCCAGGTCACTGCTTCATCATGACAATGCCAGAACCCATACAGCCAAAGCAATATAGAACTACATTGAGAACTTCTTGAACATCCGCCTTACAGCCCAGACTTGGGCCCTAGTCACTTCCTACTGTTTGGTCTGATAAAAAACCACCTTGGTGGCAAACGTTTCACTGATGATGAAATAAATGTTCTTCCACATTCGAATATCACATACTTTGTGTTTTATATCCATTTGTGACTTATTTACTGACTCTCCCTTGTACAACATACAATTATAAGTTTATATTGAAAAGTTACCATTCCAGCTGTATCTACATTTGCTCCTGCTTTTAACAAGCTATCCACGATGTCAACAGTCCCTTTTCGGCAAGCCCACACAAGAGCTGTTGTACCATACTACAAAGGAAAGAACAAGAATAAACATTAAATTCTGCAAATAAGATCTAAAAGTTTGTGATGAATTAATTGTAATTAAATTCTGCACTTACTACTTTGTAAAACACTAAATACATCTGAATCATATAAATGTATCTGTAGCTTTCATTTAAATACCTTGTCACCAACGTTAACTTTGGCTCCATGGCGTATAAGATCCTTGGCAATATCTACATGGCCTCTTCCAGCAGCCCAAAGCAGTGATGAAATATGATAGTTGCCATGAGCATTCACTTCAGCACCATGGTCCAGCAATAATATGGCTGCTTCTGAGCGGCCCTTATATGTTGCCCACATAAGCGCTGTCCATCCACCCTTGAACAGAATGATAAACTTTTTATAGAACTTATAGTATAGTTTTAAAGTTAGTAAGGCATAATATTTCAATAGATCCATGTCAAACTGCTTAAACATTATCCATTTGCTCATCATAAATCTATGAACAATTAAATGTTGACTTAAAACTTATCATATATTATTATTAATCCCCATATTTTAAACCAGATTATGTTTAGATATGATCACTGAGCCACAGCTTTACATACACAGGAATGTGCTTTTGCACGTCACGTAAGAAATAATTTCAGTGAACTCAGTAGCAGCTGAACCATATAATACAAATTTAATCCGACACTTCATGTAAGTACTCTACCATATCTCTATGCTCAATATCAGCACCATGTTCCAGAAGTTCCAAACAAATGTCTGCATATCCTTCTTTGGCTGCACACAGAAGTGCTGACCAGTTATCCTGTAACAAAACTCAAGCAGTATTATCTGTAACCCTGTCCTCCAATCCTACATACGATGGGGTACCCAAAAGAAATCAAAATAATTTTTTTGTGGACAGAGTTTTTGTAGTACCGCATTTTGCCGCTATGAGCGCATAGAGCTAACATTCCTGAGTCGATAAGCCGACTACCGTTGCTTCAGAAGGTAAGGACTAGTTTCGGCAGAGTTTATAGTGACAACTGTTTTGTGTGATCGTCGTTTTTGCAATGGCTGATTTTCGTGAACAGCGCGCGACGGTGAAATTCTGCTTTTTGCTCGGGAAAAGTGGAACAGAAACTCTTGAAATGTTAAAAACGGCGTACAAGGACGATGCTATGGGGAAAACTCAAGTGTTTGAGTGGTTTTCCCGTTTCAAAAATGGTGAAATGTCAATTGATGACAAACCTCGTTCTGGTCGTCCTTCCACGGCCCGAACCCATGAAAATGTTGAAAAATTCGTGCAATCATCAAGGAAGATCGACGACAGACCATTGAAGAAATTGTGGAACTGTCGGGAGTGACTTGGAGCTCAGCGGCCAGATTTGTGGCAGTCGGATGACTGGTTTTTCCATCATGACAATGCCCTTGCTCACACAGCCCTGTCTGTATGACAATTCTTGACCAAAAATGGCATGACCCCTGTTCCTCACCCTCCATACTCACCCGACCTTGCCCCGTGCGACTTTTTTTTGTTTCCTCGAATGAAAAGAGAGATGAAAGGAAAAAACGAGGCGCTGTCAAGCATCTCAAAAGATGAATTTAGACAATGTTTTGAAAAAAGAAATAAAAGACTAGACAAGTGTATTAGTGTAAGTGGAGAGTACTTTGAAGGGGATTGAAGGTTTGTGCTTAAAATTTGAATAAATAAGTTTAAAAAAAATAAGTTCGGTTTCTTTTGGGTACCCCCTCGTATACTATACAGTACAGTAACTACAAATAAATTCAGAAATTTCATTAGCCTCATTACATTTCTACATTTACCCTGTAAGTGGCTAATGCATCAATTCAGAAAACATTAACTACATTCATGCTGGCATAGTCAGTACTAAATCAATCACATGCTCAAGCAGAAAGAGATTTGTCACAAATAGTCTACATCCATGAGCTCACTTTTTTTTGGCAAACTAGCCTTACAGACAGGATACATCCATTCTTCCATATTAAACGAAATTTCTGCATGTGATATTTTACAACTTTTTTTTTGCAATATTTCCTGTCAATTATAAGAAGAACAATGACTTGCAATGACTAGGGCTACAAAGTGGAGTTGCATCTTACATCGGGGTTATGTTCTGAAGACGGCGTACAAACACAAAATTGTGTATGATCAGAATTATTCTTGAAAATCCCTTAAATCACCCATAAAGTACATACTTTTGTATATACTTTGTAATATGTATGCATATTGAATTTTTAATTAATAGACTTGCATAAAAATGTACAAATTGTATAAGGTTTGCCATTACTTTTACTACTAAAATTAACTTATTTATTATACTGTACATGTTTATCAGTATTTTATACAAATGTGCATGCTATTGGATGACAACTGTAATCTTAGTCGTGACTGTAACAAGGACGATCTCCACATCCGCATGAGAATGTACTCTCAACAGGAGTTATGGAAGGTGAAATAAAAAAAAAAAAATGTATATAATAAAGAGTACATATATACATAAATGTACAGTCATTTTATTTTTAATTATTTAAAAGAGACAGGAGAGAGTGGCATGGGACATGGAGAGAAGAATGAAAGAATGAAAAAGGGAAACAATAAACCTGCAGGTAGTAAGGGCTTTATGTCGATCTAGGAGACACTGCTACAAGCTTGGGTGATGAATACTGAATCCCTTGCACTATTCAATTTGGGGGGGGGGGGTTTGGGGGGGGCAAGCGCATATGGTTTAATTTGTGAAAGTTAAATGGGCAATGCAATTCCACTGTACAGAAAACACAAAATATGTGAGTAAGCATGTCCATGTCTGTGTACGAGAAATAAATGTTTAGTAAGTTAAAGTATGTGTTGGTTCTGTTTTAGTCAGTCAAAGTTGCATGTGCAGATTCTAAAGGGTTCTGCTGATGGTGCATAATACTCAGAATTTGCATATGTTTCAAAATACTGCATACATTAGCTGAAACTTAAGAATATCAGAAAAGATGCACTCGTGAAATGAACAATATCAGAATGAAACAAATTCGAACTGATGCATACCAAAAAAATCCACTTGAAGTACAGTTCAACGTGACTGACATGTATCTGTACTGAATACAGAAATATTGTACACAAGACAATGAGAATGTGTGAAATCTATAAAAGCAAAGGTGTAGGCATTTTATTGCTTCATAAAACAAACTAAACACAACACAAAGATCTCTAAATACTGCAGCAAAATAAAACAGCAAAATAAATATATTTTATTGTAAAAATGCTAACGTAGTAATGGCTTTTACATAAGGTAAAAATGTTTGGTAATAACTTACCGCATCTTCTGCATTGACATCAGCACCATGTTTTACTAATTCTCTCAAAAAGTAAAGTTTTCCTTTAGAGGCAGCTACTATAAGTGCAGTAGTGTTATTCTGAAATAGAAAATACTGTGATATTTCAATTATGTTGTTAATATGAAAAAATCATTCTTGATCAAATAAAAATGATATAACATTGCTAATTACCAGCACACATAAATGAATGACTTTACCTCATCTCTATCATCGACTTGAACTCTTTTGTTCTCAAGAAAATTTTGGAGCCCAACTAAGTTATCATCTGTGATGTAATTCACCAGAGAGCGGAAACAAAGAGACACCATCGATTCGGTGCGGTGGAGATTCTAAAACATTACAATATGTGTGTCAAGTACCATTTAACCTGTTTACATTCTAGCTTGATTAGTGTTAATAAGAATGAGAGAAGAGAATGAACATTATCACTCTACTAGAAGAACAAACTGATTACATCATTTACATGCCAGGTGTACAACAGAATACAATAAATACAAATTTCCAATGTACAGTAGCTTTCCAGTATGTTTATATTGTAGTTCTGAAGAGGTCAAATGTCAAAACAGAAAAGTATACCATTTAAGAGATTTATATTTGCACTACAGAATAAATTTACTTCTGTAAATAATTCCAATGAATTAAAATGAAGCATGATAAAAATAGGGAAAGAGCAGGTCCATACAAATAGTGCATCAAGGTAGAAAACTGGCTGAGTTATTTAAGTACATTACAATAACATTAAGATTTCATTTTGTTCCTATATTAAAATGTGAGTGAAGCAGAAGACTGACCTGCTGAATAATATCCACCTCTTTAGCACAGAATTTTACAGAATGGTTTGAAAAAGGTATCACAAAACATTTCTTTTTTGTTTGTATTCTACCTTTTTGTTTGTTTATTCCTTTGTTCATTTGGAACTGACACCTTTAACCATGAAAATGACTAAGAATGACAATTTTCGTTCCTCATCTAAAAATATGAAACATTTTTTGTGCCAAGAGTATTTTATTACAGCTGTGGGAACTGTCCACATTCAAGCAAGTGTGACAAAGCGAGCTTCATTGCTTAGCAACGACGAGTAAACAGCGGTTGCTAGGCAAAGCCTACAACAATACGGACAGTTACATGTTTTCTATATGCCCGACTCTAGGTTACATAAGAAGATACATTGAGGGAAGTTACAGTTACAGTTCTAGATTTCTACAGTTCTACAACTCTAGTTCAGTGTTCAAGGAGTTCACTTTTGTTATTATTATTCTTCAATTCTTCAAACTCAAGTTGGTCCGTGTATACTGTACAACTGTAATAAATACTATAGGACAGTTCATCTAGTGGTTGTCTCAGTCACCACATTGGTGACTGAGTTCATACAGCTAACATAATCAGGAACACATTTGTGAATTAGCTGTTTGTACATTTTAACAGATACCATACTTTTATATATTTTAGTCTTACCTTATAGTACTGATTTCTAAAATGATCTGCTAAGCAAGTTTTCTTTATGAGAACACAGTATATAACATAACTATCATGCTCATGTGTGTAAGTGAATCATAATGGTATAATAATTACCATCTTCTGGATGTGACGATGTTCAATCTAGTAGATGTTTAACAATGTTTTGGAGGAATCTGCTGCCTCCATCTTCAGGGTAGAAGAGAGAGGCGGCATGTTTCTCCGAAACGTTGGTAAATATGTGTAAGACCACAAGGTGTCATGTCTCAGATGTTAACAGTCTTCACAGTCACTGCCACAGAAACTTTAAACCTTATAACAGGTATGATCCAAGCCAGGATTAGGTACGTGGGTAGGCTGAAAAGTAATGCACACATGCTTGTAGAGTGCAAACAAAAACAAACAGCAAGATCGGGCAAAGAGTACATTAAAGTACAATTCTTAAGTTTCAAAAGCATATGTTTATTTTTCAACATAGCTACCGTTAAGGCTAACACATTTCTCCCAACGTGTAACAAGTTTTTTCATTCCGTCACTGAAAAATTCTTCCGACTTTTCTCGAATCCAGGACTTGACAGCTGCCTTCACCTCATCCTCCGAGGTGTAATGATTACCCTTGAGGTCTCTCTTGAGTAGAGGAAAAAAATAAAAATCGCAAGGCGCAAGATCGGGGGAATAAGGAGGGTATGGAATCGGTTCAAACTTCAGGTTTCGCAGAGCCTCTTCAGTTGCGCCAGGTGTGTGGACGAGCGTTGTCATGTTGCAAGATTATTGGCGCCAGGCTGCCTCTAACACAACAAACTCGACGCCGGAGGTGTTTTAGAGTCTGTATGTACTGAGAAGAATTTACCGTTGCCCCTCGTTCCAGAAAATCGGTAACATAAACTCGGTGAGCATCCCAAAACACAGTCAAAAGAAGTTTTTTGGCGGATGGTTGTGTTTTGAACTTTTTCGCCTGAGGAGAAGACGGATGTCGATATTCAGCGCTCTGTCTTTTCTCTTCCGGGTCGTAACGATGGACCCATGACTCGTCCCCCATCACAATATTCAAACGAAAGTCGTCTCCTTCGTCACAGTAGCGCTGCAAAAGTTGCTCGCAGCATTCCAATCGACGCTGTTTGTTCTCGTCTGTGAGACGGCGTGGTACCCATCGTGCACAGATTTTACGGTATCCTAATTGTTCAATAATGAAGCCGACACGTTCCTTGGATATTCCAATATGGTTTGCGATACGCTTTTGAGTGATTCGCCGGTCATTTTGAATCAAATCGAGTTTGCGATGATTATCGTCTATGGCAGTGATCGGACGTCTGCTGCGTGTTTCATCAACAATTATGGCTTTTCCAGGCTCGCAACCACGAAATTTTATTACTAGGGCCCGGATTTCTATGACATGTCATATTTTTTTCCTAGGGTTTATTCCTATTTTTAAATGTAATTATGCATGTTTCCAGTCATTCTTATTGAAATTATGTCGTTTTTATTGTGCACATAAATGCATATTTTAGAGTTTTATTGGTTTTACAGCATATTTTGGCATAATTTTGAAAT